TGTATAAAAGAGAGACCATGGTGGACGCATCTCAGATGATCCGAATTGATTTCACATTCCACATCTTGAAAGGATCCGGGGCCATCTATTTCAGTTGACCAAAGTAAATGCATTCCTCTTTCCCTCGCTTAGTGTCTCTGACAAAGAAAGAAACATAAAAAGTTAAGAGACGTATTATTTTGGTTTATTAAATTGGGAAATCATTTACTTTTCAGTAACTCACTAAGTGAGACATGATTACGTTCATAATTACACACAGGCTGAGGTTTTCGAATCCTTATTTCTGCTGATTATGATGGATTTCTGCTTGCAGCTAATGAAAAGGCGATATGCGAGATTAGGATATTACAATAAAAAAAACTCATTTGGACTTAGTCAATAACATGTTTAATATTTGCTTATAGATTGTTATTTTTCACATGGTGCTTTTCATCTGATAAGTCTCTGAAAAACTAATTGTTCTAATCCATTGAATATGAGTGCAAGCTGTAAAAGATCGTTTAGTTATAAAATATTCAGACCGACCAATTAAACTAATAGATTACTATATCATCAGGTTCAAGAATCTAAACGAAACCTTACAGCTAGACAGAGTATCAATTTTATTCAGGCGATTAAAAACAATACTGTTAACTGCTGCCACCTAGTGGATTCTTTGTGTCATTGCATTGAACGCCATTAATTTTCTCAGATATTTCATCATCTGCATTGTTTTTTGTTTTGTTTTGTTTTTTGGGGGGGCAGGAGGGTTCTGTTCATTTACTCCAATTAACTGGTCTGTTTTTTAAATAAACTCATCCGCTCTGGGGTCACTACCACAGTATTAGACATCCTTATGAATAAATAATCATAAACTAGCAATTTTAATTTAGTGAGTTTTGTGCTCAATTAAAAAAATAGTCTCTTACAATTTATGACACAGTTATTTTCATATTCTGTCACATTGCAACCATGAACTTCCATGCGTTTTATTGGGTTCTTAATCGACAGACCAAGAAAAAGCAGTACTTAATTATCAAATTGATCAAAAATTAAATTTTTTTCTTCTGACAAAAACTTTCATCACTTTATCTCTCTGCTTTCTCTGAATAAAACTCAGTTCAACCAATTTTATTTAAAAGTCACCTAATCAGTAAAAAGAATCCATTTGTGTGCAACATCATCTCAGTATAACTCCACAAAAAAAACCCAAAGGTATTTGGTGTAAATGTCACAAAACAGGCATTTGTGGAAAAAGTGAAAGACAAAAACCGCAAGATGTCCCATTAAAGTGACACAGAGTTGAAAAACAAAGAGAAGCATACCAAAAATAAATCTTTTAACCTTTCTGGTAAATAAATTCATCATACTCTGAAAAACTAAAGATAGTGGTGGCAGCACCATGCATTATTTCCCATGGAATAGGCTGGGAATCAGCTAATATTTAATGGAAAGATGAATGGAGACTAAAGGGAAGACTAATAATGTGAGGTTCCACACCTCAAAATTAATAATCCAGCGCCTTTTCTCTGTTTTGTTGTTTTCTTCTTTCAGCAGCTGCGTACATTTGACTGAATGTTGAGCAATTTGTCTTTCAGAGAACGCTCTCATTTTGGGCTAGACACTGTAATGAAAACCAGAGAGAAATCTGAATTGCTGGCTGCCTTCCAGGATCACTTTGGCTGCTTGTGAAAGGTGCCGAGAATCAGCCATTGCTCTTGCGCACAATAAAATCAATGCATTCAAAAATGACTCATTACTTATTAACTCACACTAACCATTTACCAAAAGAACATTTAGTCATCTTTTTCTCCATTACTGTCATTTTTGTTTTTAAAACCCTTCTTAAAAGACGGTTCTGGATCATTAAAGCTATCTTAAAGTAAGTGTAAATTGAGCGTGCCTTACAGTTTGCATTGACACATGACACCGATAGTATTGTGAAAACTTCCTTTGTCAAGTTTGAACTTGCTTGGCGCTGAATGGACGAGAACTTTAACTTTTTTTTAGAAAAAGTGAAAGAAAATACCGTCATCCGCTCAGAATGGACCACAAAGTCTGACAAAATACGTTTGTACTTGGCTCCACATGCACACTAATTTTCAGAAAGCTACTAATTATTGCCATTTCTTGCTTGGAGACATTGAAAGAAATGTACAACAAAGGCTTGTATGTTTAACAGAATCATTTAGTCAACACTGCTGTTTTACTTGGTGTTGATTTGGCACGATTCAGTGGTTTTAGTAGCGCCGAGGCTGGAAGGGCGTTGCGCGACTCTGGGTTTTCATGCACAGGAAGTCATGAGACTTGATTCTTCCTAAAAGTCTGAAACAGTACAGTTACTCTGACGCAGCTTATGCTGATCATTACACTTTTCTCTATAGAGAGCAAATTCTTCCAAGAAGAGATTATCACCATTTATCATTAGATGCGCTTTAGGAGATTTGGAATAGTGCCTGCTGGCTGGAGAAATGTTATTTTACTGCAGGAAATGAACATCATGTCTGCTTCATTTCATCATGCTCAAGGTTCTGAAGGGGTAAATTAGACTGTAAAGGGAATTTTTACTCAGTAAGTCTGAGCTGGCCTGTTCTGGACAGTGAGAATGAGTGTGTGTCTGTCTCGTCACACACATTCATTCTTTAGGCACAAGTCAGAGTGAACTTCAACTTTCTTGCCATAAGTTTTCTCCTTTATTTCCTAGCACAATGAAGTGAAACTGTGCATTGTATTCTCATATTTTCAATGTTAGCCACCTTAACAGGCCATCGATGTTCCAACAATAAAAAGTGACCTTTTACATTGTGTTTTACTCTGTAGATTTCAGCATTTTGCTTCTTTTTTTTTTGTCTTATGTTTCAGATGTTCAAAATTCTTTCATATCAAACAAAGATAACTTTAGCGAATTCAAAATGTTTTCAAATGATAATTTCATTTATGGAGGCAAAATAGCTTTCCAAGCCTACTCGGCCTCACGTGTAAAATTTTATTGAGCCCTCGGCCTAATAACAGGTTGTGCTACCTTTGGTAGCAACGGCTGGTGAGAGATGGTGTTTTAATGTTATTTATAACAACTAGTTCTTGACTCAAGAGGCAGCTGCCTGTCCATGTAGGACCATATTGGTTTGTACAGCTCTTTACTTAATTTAAAAAAAATTACTTGAAAAGTCAAGTGAAATTTTTCTTTAACCAGTTTATATTTGCCTCATATTTAACTTTGAACAATATTCTGAATCATTTAAGAGTAACCAATAAAAAAAGCAAATGGTAAATTAAAAATCAAATTCAGATGAAGCCAAATGGCACTCCTAGTTTATAAAATGCTTGTGTACGTTCCCAAACAAAGTATGAAGCATCTGGAAAGAAACGTGCAGAGACAAGAGGGCCAACACTTTCCATGTAGGTCTGCTTTAGGTCAGCCAGGCCTGTAGTAGCTTAGATGTTTTTGCTCAAATTTAACCTAAGCAGACTTTAGAAGTCAAGTTTTATTTTGTTAGCCGGAGTAAAATATAAAAAGGAAGATGAATACCTGACCCAAACTCTCACTTTTCAAAAATCTTTATGACAAGAAATATATTTCAAATAATACTCTACCGTCCACAACAACTTGGATCTGTTCAGAATTAGGAGTATTTTTAAACCCTCCTAGTTTTTGTCAATTTTTAATGAAAAACTGTGAAGGTCAGTCTTATAGATTTTTATGAAGTGTTCAGACTGTGGAGACCCAGGATAAGAAGTCAGTCTTGGTTTTTTTGCTCCGACAAGGGATAGAGTGAAAAGCTGCGAAGGGGAAAGTCAAGAATGTGGGTCACCTAAATTTTCTTGCAGTGGCAGGGAAAATGATAGATGTCTTCTTTAATTTGGTAAATAACGACGAAGCATTGTACAGAATCATTAAACCACGTCGAGTGCTGAATGACTCACAAATAAACGAAGGAGGACTTGAATGCGAATTTTAATTAGGTATTTCAGAAAAAAAAAAAAAACTCCCGTGGAAAAACCCGTCAGGAAGTAGCTGTTATACGATAGGCTCCAGCAGAAGAGAGAGAGAGAGAGAGACAGAGAGAGAGGCAGCCCAGTTCTGTGCTGAGCCTTTCACACGGACTTTACAGCTGTTCTGCTCGGTTCGGTTCCCCACACATCTGCCCAGGAGAAAGCGAAGTCAGAAACATCTGCTGATCATTGGTATGTGGATCTCTTGTCACTTCGGCGAACAAACAAACCGTACTGCAAGCTCTGCTCGCTGGCTCGCAAGCAATCGTCAGGTCTTCCGTTTTATTTAAGGAGCCACGTTCTGCTTGTTCTGTTACCGTTGCGTTTGGCGTCGCCTCCTTGTAATTACGTTCACCTTTAAGAGCTACAAAAAAATAAATAAATAAATAAAATAAAAAAATAAATCTACAGCGACTACGCGCACATGATGCTACTAAAAGGTTTCTGTTTCGCTTCCGATGTGTTTTATGCATCGATCAGTCGCATCCTCACGGTTTGCGGTTTGTGACTGTGGATTGTATGCAGTAGACTATCGTAACTTGAAACTGTGGCGTGAAAATAAATTGACAAATTATTTTTATTTTTTATGGGATGATTTTCGGATTCTTAAAACTTTATATTATATATATATATATATATATATATATATATATATATATATATATATATATATATATATATGTGTGTGTGTGTGTGTGTGTGTGTATGGGATTTGGATACAGCCACCGTTGCAGAACCATCCTGACCCAAATGGCCTGAGTTAAATCAGACTGGATGGAGATTCGGAGAGCATCTGTAAACATTTATTGTCAAATCTTCCCACATATATTCTCAATTGGATTTTGGTTTGGACAGTAACTTTCTCACAGCTTTCCTACAGTACCGTGCTATGATAATGGTCTTGTTGTTGTTGTTGATGATGTGTTATTCATTTACTTAGCATTTTGCATGCTGGCCAAAAAGTTCAGTTTTGTGCTCCAATTAGTAGCACCTAATTTTGCAACTTTGTGAAATGCTTGACATGTTTGTTCTGCTACAAAAGCCATATTGTTGGTAAGTCTGAGGTGTACGTCTTCACGGCCTCCCTGAAGCTGCCATGGCGCCTATTGACTGTTTCTCTGATTTACTCTTTTTTTATCGAGTCACTTTAGCTGCACAACATTGACTTCTGTCACACTGGATTGTATTTAGGGGTATTAGAGTATGTGGGGCTCAACATTCACGTCTCAATTTTTAGATTTTGCTCGTGAAAACGTGTAACACGATGTTTTTTTTGTGTGTTTTTGTTGAAGATAACCAAACATGGCCATCATGCTGGCTGCTGCGGTACTCAAGCTCTACGCCATTGGAACCGCACTCTCCGTACTGGCATTTATTTATGGGATTGCTGACTCCTTCGGGGGACTCATGTACGCTCAGAACCACCACTACATCCACGGACTGGACCACCAGACACAAAGGCAGATCCCCTCCGGGGCCCACATGCGGAGAGGATCTGTGACGAGAAACATTGGCTGACGAGGAACTTTGTGATGTTGGATCTTTGCTTCGTTTTAAGGGGACTTGGACTGTACATATTTTTCTTCCCGGGGGATGTTTTGTCTGTTTCTTTGTCTACTGTTTAAAAAAAAAAAAAAGATGTTGTGCAGCTATTTTTCAGAGCAACTACAAAGCTGCAACAGATGTAGCAGCACTACTGAACAATTTGCACTAACACTAGAATGTTTTTGTAGCTGTTTCTGAAATAAAATACCTTCTTTTTAACCATTTAGCAAGCGTAAATTCATCGCAACCTCTCTTTACGACATGGTTTACAGGAGCAGTAAATCAGTAGGGTTGCGGCAAAGACCTTCAACGGGTCCAGACAAAGTCTGAAGTAAAAAAGGAACTATACAATAGCAGCTTAATTTATGGGGAGAGAAATTTATTTCTTTGATCCCTTTTGTGAGAATAGTTGTTTAACTGGTACTAGGACTATTGTTCTGTGTATTCACTGTGGTTCTGATGATTGTTTTAAAGGTTCAGGGAACAGAAAATTTCAAAACCTACAAGTTAGAGCACATAGAAATCCTGAATAGTGAATCATCAGATTCAAATGTAAGAGACTATTGACGCAATAGTGTTGACCCTATTGAATGTGTTCTTGTGTGTCAACGAATGCTTGAAAACCTACACCAACTGGTTTTAATAAGTGGTGGGTGGGGGAATCTGTTTTTATTTTAAATTTTTTAAAGGTTAAAAAAATAACCTTTAAAAAAAGGTTATTTTCTCAGCGGTGCTGAGATTATCACGTACACAAGACCAGTCATCGGTGTTGACTCAAAGCTTCTCCATTTCACATTTTGCTGTACATGCTTCATCAAATTCTCAAAAACGACGGTTTCCTCTTCTAGTTCTGTGAAGTAGTTTTAACATTTGCTTGTTGACATTTACTTGAACCCTTTTTAGATAGAGAGAAAAAGAGAGGGACAGATGCTGAAGACGACTCGAAAAGAGGAAGGAGGGGATTTAAGTGACTTAGAACATTGGGGACGATTATTGGAGCAAAACAGACTCGTCTTTGCATTTCAGAAACTGCTGAAATTTTCATAACACCAGCCATTTCTGGGATTGTGGAGAATGGTTGGGAAAAAAACAAAAAAAGCAAAGACCCAATGGTTAAAAATGCCTTTTGGTTTTCAGAGGTAAGAGCAGACCGGACAGCATTGTTTGAGCTGATAAAGCCACAACAGTAACTCAAACAACCAGTCAAGATATGCAAAATATGATCTCTGAATGCACAGAAGACCGTGCCCTGAAAAATATATGGGCTACAAGAAGCAGAAGACAAAACCTGACTCACTATAATTGGATAATAACAGATTGGAAAATATTTACTGATCCAATCAGTGTTGTTTTCAGCTGCAGTTTTCAGATGTTGGGGTCAGAACTGGGCATAGACATCGTTTTAGCATGTATCCGTCCTGTCTTGTATCAACAGTTCAGGCTTTCAGTTTGCTAGTTTCGTTCATTTTAAAAAGTCAGCAACTCGGCCGACAAAGGTCATTGTATACGTGTGGATTCCTACCGAAAGAAAGTTTATCATCTTGCACTTTTCTTCATTTCAGTTGTGGTTTTGTGTCCATCATCCCCACCGTTTTACGAGCCATTAGTCACCTGCTGTGTGAGGTTGCATCTGTTGCCGCTCCCAGAACTTAATGGTGACATGCACATCCGAACAACACTCATCTACCCGAAATGTCGTTTACGTGCTTCTCTTGGCAAGAGATTTAACCTGGATACAGCCGGCAGCAAGACAGCTGCGCTTTGTTGGCAAGACCACTGCTAAATGCATCTTCATAGGAGAGTTTTTCTACAGAAAAAAAAGCTGCTTAAATATTTACTCCTTGTCTGTACATGTCCTCACTTTCAACGTTTGCGTAAACAAAGGCGAGGGTGAAAACTTGTGCGTCAGATGTCAGAATCTTTCTGCACTTTATGATCACCCAGGGCGATGATAGAAAGATCGATCATACGTGAAGAAAATAGTCGACCCCGTCTGTTCATTTCTTTACTATAACAAATACAGGGGCTAAAAATAAATTGTAATCATAATAATCTTTTATTTAAAAGTGAAACCCATCTAGGGTATAGATTCATTTCACACAGAGTGGTATTCAGTTGTTTATCTCAACTAATTTTGGTTGTGAAACCCCAAAATTCAGTTTCTAATCCTAACCCCTCTCTCCTGACACGTTGGCTTAATAACCCACCGTGGACCAAAACCAGCAGATGATGCCGTCCTCTTCTTCCAGATTCTGCTTAATATCCAAATCCAAAAGATTTAAGACTACCAAATAGCAATCCAGTCCTTTTAGTTTTTAGCGCATGTGAGGCACATCTTCCCTTGTCTCTGGTTCAGGAGTGGCTTTAGGATTGCAACACGTCACTCAATTGAGCTTAGTTTCACTATCAACCGCTATGAAAACCATTTGTTTCTCTTCCATTAAACTTTCCATTAAATTATATACGAATTGTATACGAAATTATATCAACACACAGCTTTTTACCAACCTTCCGGAGCTTCCCCTGCTAACGGAGGAAAACTCCAATAATGTTGGGGATGCGTTTAGTGTAACCCATAATAATCAAAATTAACTTAAATTCCCAAACGGCATGTTGTTACATGACAAAAAAAAAATCTCTTTACCTCATGGAAAACATTGACTTTTGAAAGTGTTTTAACAAGCAGGAATAAAAGTAATGTAATAATAGGAGGGCAAATGAAAAACATGGGGAAAAACTGAACAAAACAAAACGTTATGAAACATGAAAAAAAAGAAGCAGCAAAAACATACGGTGGATGTGTTCACATCTTCTGTTGAAATTGAAATCCTTCCTGTAGGTCACATGGATACGGGTAGAAGCACCTGCTCTCTTAACACAGCACTTTTTTATGTTAATGACCCGTTCAAGCACTCCCCCTCCCTGGGGCTTGCTTTCATACCGCAACACCTTCAACTGAACCAGTATCTGCAGGGACACAGGTCACCATAACTCCTTCGTCATCCGAGGGTCCACTCTCTCTGCTGACATGATTTGGACCACTGTGCTCCTCGGTGGGCTGTGCGTCCTCCACATTGCCCTCCTTCTCTTAGCCGAGGGGAGCAGGAGCGGCAGCAGCGGCGGTCCTTGGGGAAGGACGGTCACTTTCCAGCGGGGCCGACGGGCCCCACGCCTCCAGAGGGACACCGGCGGCTCCACAGACTCCTTGAACCCTTCTCGCGGTCCTGCCTTCGCCTCCTGCCAGCTTTCCCTCACCCCGACCGAACACAGGATTCTGGACGATAACACACAGGAGGTGAGCGCATGAAGAGAGTCGCCTGTTAATAAGTACTTAAGATTTATTTAAGCTTAGACATGCAGCACAAAAGAAAGGCTGATTAATGATTTTAAAAATATGTTGACTTTATTTTTTTTTTTAAATGAAATGTATTCATCAGGAGAATGGAAGAAGTTCGAGTCATTACTGACGTAAATGATACTTGAACATTTTTGTCCTCTTTTTCCTCCTAGACAGGGTTTAATGGTGACGACGGCTCCCACGTGATTCTCACATGGGTGGGCGACGGTACAGGAGTGAGTGTCCCATTTGATCTTCTTCATGCTCATATGCAGATTTCCATTTTAAAGCATAAATATCCAGTTTGTACAAAAGTAGAAGTTTGCTGTTATTAGTCAAACAGATACTGAAATAATCCAAATGTGTAGATAATTACTTGTGTGGCTTGCAGACGTAAAAACACACAAAAGAGACTGAAGAAATGTGGTCGTGCACCAAGAAAACACAGCAAAAAATGAGAAACACATACTAAAACATAAACCATAACAAAGTATATACATGTATAAAGATTCATATTAATAGTATTGTCTAATAAATTGTTATTGTAATGTTTTCAATATTACTTGTGACACATAAACTCAAATATCACACACTAAGTTTTGAACTTAATCTGATGGCTTCAGATTAGGTTCCACTGTTTTGAAGTTGATCTCTGTGGTGCTTTTAGTCTGAAACTAATTTTTCACGATTATTTGAATAAATAAATCAACACAACTCATTTTTTATTGCGAGAGTTTCAGGAAACACTCTCGTGAGTTCAGGGTTAATCTTAAGAGTCGCCCCACTCACACGGCGTTTCTCCGTGCACCAGGTGATCCTGGTGCTGTCGACAATCAGCGCTCCGCTCGATTCTTACCTGGCAGGAGGCTCATCTCGACTTTACCGAAGGCGAGTCCAAATTTAACCTGTACGTCCCTTCCACTCAGCACAGAGTTACAATGAATGTCCTTCTTATTTCTCAACAGCACAGACTATGGCAAGTCCTTTCACGATATCTCCCACCGCATCAACCACACCTTCATCAAAGAGGAGCTTGGAATCAGTGTTGGACCCGGGAGCTCAGTGAGTTAACAGTATATAGCCATCAGTTTGTTCGCAAACTTTAAAAAGACAGTGCTGCTTAACGTGGGGATTTCTGTGTTGAACTAATAACCTCCTCCGTCCTTTCGGTTGACGCCATTCTAAGGATTAGGGACATTGGGAACTCTGGGGAAACGCTGTGAGGTTCTAGTCAAACTGCAAAAAGTGTGAAGACACCTCCATTGTTATCAAAATCAACTCTACCAATGTCTTCTGTTTGCACACATCCAATCAGTGTGGCAGATTTGTTTTTTGTTTTTTTTGAGAAGCTGGAAAGAATTTGATTAAAACCATAAAGTTCAATTTTGGTCTCAACTGACTCCT